TGTCAAGCTACCGTCCTGCACTGTCGCGGTTCAAATCCCGCTGAGGGTGTTGATAAGACCAATGCAAGGTGGAAACTGCAGTCCACCTCAGCCGGGATGAGAAAAACTTTTGGGAAAGCAAGGCTATGTTCACATAGCCTTGCTTTCCCACCCTGGATGAGAACAACTTTTGGGAAAGCAAGGCTATGTGAAATTCAAAGGTCAAAACTGCAGTCCACCCAGGATGAGAACAACTTTTGGGAAAGCAAGGCTATGTGAAATTCAAAGAGGTCGAAACTGCAGTCCACCCTGGATGAGAACAACTTTTGGGAAAGCAAGGCTATGTGAAATTCAATAGCGAGGTCGAAACTTCAGTCCACCCAGGATGAGAATAACTTTTGGGAAAGCAAGGCTATGTGAAATTCAATGTCCAATGCGAGGTCGAAACTGCAGTCCACCCAGGATGAGAACAACTTTTGGGAAAGTAAAGCTATGTGAAAATTCAATGGTACTGCAGTCCACTCAAGCCGGGATGAGAACAACTTTTGGGAAAGCAAGGCTATGTGAAATTCAATGGAGACCTGCAGTCCACTGGTGCCTGAATGAGAACAACTTTTGGGAAAGCAAGGCTATGTGAAATTCAATGGAAGGAAACTGCAGTCCACCCAGGATTAGAACAACTTTTGGGAAAGCAAGGCTATGTGAAATTCAATGGAAAACGCGCAGTCCACCCAGGATGAGAACAACTTTTGGGAAAGCAAGGCTATGTGAAATTCAATGGAAAAGTCAGCACCCAAAAGGTGTTCTCATCCAGGGTGTTGGGAAAGCAAGGCAATTTGAAATTGAATGGAAACGTCAGCTCTAATTCATATCATTGTGGGAAAATTCTACTACCAGTCCTTCATCACCTTACACGAAATAGGGTGAATACATCTCATCACACTGATTATCATTGTGGGAAAATTCTACTACCAGTCCTTCATCACCTTACACGAAATAGGGTGAATACATCTCATTTAACTAGTATTATTTTGGTACACCTTGCATGACATGAACATTTCATACACACAATAGACATTAGACAATAACAAAAACCAAAACATGAGTCAACATTAGAGTATCATATGTTTCGCACAGGTTGACCGAGGTTGGATGGCTTTGAGCAGAGGACTGTTTCACACAATCCAACAGTCTTCACTTTGCGGCAGTCCTCCTTCGGTTTCCGATGGGACCACATCACGAATTCCTTTCAATCGACTTCATCTTGAAACTACAAAGTCATGTGACAATATATCCAAACAATCGGACAATCGGACAGCCGGAAAACGGGAAAACCGTGAAACCAATATGACAATGTTGGTTGAAATGAGCGTAAATGTGCATTTTATATCTTTTCATGTTAAATACTTTTGCTGCATCAAAGTTCTACTTTTAGTCAGTTAGTGTGGCTCACATTTTCCACCAATCGAATCCGGCAAAATGAGGCCTGTTCAATGGCGAAGACTCGGCGATCTTTTATTCGTGACAACTGCTTGATAAGCCTCAACCGACGTTCATCAATGCTGTAGTCATTGCGTTGAAAGATCGACCACAAGGCACTTTGGTTTTTGTCGTCGTTTGAAGTGCCTCTTCGAGACGTGAATTGATTGAGACTTTTGACGGGAGCTACAACTTTACTCTTGAGTCGTTTGACCACATTCAAGCCCTCCTCGATGGTATTGCGAAACGAGTTTTGCTCAGACCATTCGGTCGCCTCCTCTTCCTCCTCTTCCTCCTCCTCCTCCTCCTCCTCCTTCTCCTTCTCCTCTTCATCGCCCTCATCTTCCTTCTCTTCTTTCTTCTTCATTCCCGAGAAGAGTTTCACAATAAGACGCTTTTGGCGGCTCGAACTTTGGTTCTCTTGATGTGACCTCGACTGTACATCTTCCGGCTCATAGTCTCCTGGAAACAGATTTCCTTTTTCGTCGCTCAAATCTGCTGCTTTGCATTTCTTCACCTTCTCTTTCCTCCAGGAAAAACAGTGGGAAAAAAGCCTGCTGAACGGGCTAGATCTTTGCTTATCTACAACGTTTGGGAAAAAGTGGGAAGGAGGCATTTTTACACAAGAAGACATCAGAAAACTGACATCAGCTGATTAATTTTCAATGTGTAAATTAAGAAACCATTAGCAAATCTTGAATAAAGACTATATTCAGCCTAGATTGCACAAGGTGATGATGGCTGGAGTGGACTTCCGTTTCGACCTTGTCTGGGTCTCTTCAGCCCTCGAACGGGACTCGAGTACGTGGATAGTGCAGCCTATAGCATGCGCCAGTGGGCCACAGGATAGACGTCAAGTTGAAGGCAAGTCAAGTCTTATCAATAAAACATTAATTATTCTAGTAGGATTACCAATAAAGCAAACTTGTATGTGCTCTTACAATCTACCATATTGTTCATTTTCAGAATGAGTCGATTTTACAACAACAAAAAATATGGTATGGCAACTGTTTTCATGAAAGGTCATATAAGACGTTGCATTTGTCCCCATTTTCGATTAAATTTCACTTGGACTCATCTTCCCAATCCCGTTGGGGTGCTGATGAGATCAATTGAAGCGGGGTCGAAGCTACAGTCCAGTCTAGCCGAGAAGAGAATTCCATTGAAAAAAACAATGATAAGCGGAATTAAATGATATTTTATCGATTACTCATGTTTTTTTGTAAAAACTCTTCATCATCAGTCATCCATCATTTTATGTGACTTCAATATTTACTAATACTCACTACGAATATCGGTAATAGAGTTTATTATAAAATATAATATAATCTTTATGGGATGTATTCATCCAATTTCGTTTAAGCTGATGAAGGACTGGAAGAAGAAGAATAATTTTCCCACAATCATATGAGTTGAGCTGACGTTTCCATTCAATTTCACATACCCTTGCTTTCCTTTGTTCTCATCCCGACTGGAGTGGACTGCAGTTTCGACCTCGCATTGGTCTTATCAACACCCTCAGCGGGAGTCGAACCACGACGCCACCAAAGAATATGATATAGCAAAGAGGCCTGACCTTCTTTGAAATTCACTTATGCCCTGTGACTCAATGGTACTCGTGGCGGTGTTGCCGAGTCGTTAGCGTGTCAAGCTCCCATCTTGCACTGTCGCGGTTCGAATCCCGCTGAGGGTGTTGATAAGACCGATGCGAGGTGGAAACTGTGGTCCACTGGTGTTTGGATGAGAACAACATTTAGGAAAGCAAGGCTGTGTGAAATTCAACTGAAACGTCAGCTCAACTCGTATCATTTTGGGAAAATTCTACTACCAGTCGTTTATCACCTTACATGAAATAGGGTGAATACATCTCGTCCTATTTAGTTTAAGGTAGTGAAGTGCTGGTAGTAGAATTTTCCCACAATCATATGAGTAGATCTGACGTTTCAATGGAATTTCACAGAGTCTTGCTTCTCCAAAAGTTGTTCTCATCCACACGCCCGTAGACGGCGGGTGATACAGTCGATTGTTCTAGCACAAATACGTTTGCCTCATCGACAATCCCACCAAAGAATGTGATATGCGATAAGGCCTGGCCTTCCTTGAAATTCCCATCTTTCCTATGACCCAATGGCACTCGTGACAATGTGGCCGAGTGGTTAACGTGTCACGGTTCGACTCCCGCTGGGGGTGTTGTTAAGATCGATGCCAGATCGAAACTGCAGTCCACTCCGGCCGGGATGAGAACAACTTTTGGGAAAGCAAGGCTCTGTGAAATTAAATGGAAACATCGGTTCTATTCATAGGATTGTGGGAAAATTCTACTACCAGTCCTTCACTAGCTTAAACTAAATAAAATGAATACATCTCATTTACTGATTTACGGATAGTTTCGAACTCTACTTATATACGGCAAATATAAGTTTGTCTGATTAAGAATCCCACTAACAAATGGGATAACGAATAGGCCTGACTTACCTTGAAATGTAAACCTTCATTGTGACCCACTGGCCCTTCGTGAAAGTGTGGTCTTGGTGTAACATGTTGAAAGTATATGTTGCACTCCCGCCGACTTCGAGTTCCGTCCGGGGGCTGATGACTCCCAGACGAGTTCGAACTTGTAGTCCAATCCAGTCTAAGCCGAATGAGACTAGCTTTTGGGGAACAAGGCCAAGGTAGACCGATTCGTATGATTAAGGCACAACTCGACAATCAGTCGTCCCTCGTCAGCTTATGCTGACCTGGTCTGAATACAGTTCTTGTTCGAACTCTGCTGACAGTTCGAAAACTGTCTTAATACGAACAGAACTAAGTAAAGAGACTGTACATTCTTCAAATTGACACAATGTCAAAAAAACATTCATACAATATAAAAGTAGCAACAATTAAACTATCTTAAAATATTCTTCAAAACCCATTTACGCATCGTATCAATTCGTAACGCTCCAATTGGCATCTCCTCGAACAGTCCACATGTACACATTCAACTGTCACGAAGCGGAGCTCAGTACGGCTTGTCTCTACCTTTGGGGCCAGGCGGTGGTGGAGGTGAGGCGAGAGAATAGAAGATGACACAACACGAGCTCGAATCCCGATTGGGTGGTTGACGTCGTCACGGGACAAGACTGAGACGACAGACCAAACTGGACAATGTAGGCAGTCGCCTGTTGGCAAGAGACAGACGTCAGGAGCCAGACTGACCTGTTGGTATTCGGGAGCATGTCATCAAAAGTGTTCACCTCTGCAACACCAACAAGTCAAAATGGCTGGTCGGCTAGGCTTTGGTATTCATCTTGAAACAGTGTTTTTCGTGGCAAAAACGGTTAAAATGCAAAATGACAACTCGAAAAGAGACAGAATGTCCCCTCAGAGAGGACGACATGTCGGCCAGGACACAACTAATCGGTGGTAATTGTCGAGGTCACAGCATTGACTAAATTTGTAAGTATTCTCTAAACAAATCTGTCTCAGATGACCCCGAATTGTCAGGTGTTTTAGGCAATTCATCATCGGCCATAACCATCTGACTCGAGCAGATTTTGGCTCTATCGTCATAAGACCAAGGTTCGGATGAATGGCTTCATTTAACCCTAACCAGCACAACACGGTCATGCTACGCGTTGGAATGAAGCAAACTCGACTGAAAGGAGGAGAAATGGAATGTGCGAATAAAACAATTCGGCTTGCATGCAAATGAGAGAAAATGAGATGATATCTGCTGTCTGCCTGAAGGAATGCTAACTACAGAAACAGCAATCCATTCATATGTAGGATCTATTAGTAATCTCGAAGAGCCTACTTATAAACGAAAAATAAGTAGTGTAGTCGATGTCATAGCCAACACAACGTTGTTTCATCGATACACCCAACACAGAATGTGATAGTGGAAAATGCTTAGAGTCCCGTGAAATTCACACCTGACCTATGACCTAATGGCATTATTGGCAATGTGGCGTATCGGTTAAAGTGCCAAGATTGTGTGCTGCACTATCGCGTTTCGACTCCCGCTACGGGTGCTGAAGAAGCCAGTCCAGGTGAGGTTTGGATTAGAATAGCCTTTGGGAAAGCAAGGTAATATACAATTCGATGTAGACATGAGTCATAGTCATATGATTGTGGGAAAATTCATGTCATTCCTTCATCCTCTTCAACGAAATAGGGTAAATTTATCTCACTGGTAGTCTTTAAACCTGAATTATACACTTAACAGTCGTCATCAGCGCTATAAAGTATCCTTAAAACGACTGCAAACATAAGAAGAGCCAATATGAATCACTGGCTTAGATATATATATATAGATAGATAGACCGATAGAAAGAAATAAAGGAAGAAAGAAAGAAATAAAGAAAGAGAGAAATAAAGAAATAAAGAAATAAAGAGAAAAAAAAGAAAGAT